GGTAAATGTATCCCTCACACCCCCTAACACACAGAGGAGGAAAAGGTGTTTTGGGGAGATTAAAACACCCACCTCTTTAAAGCTGCCAAGGTTGAGAAACTCTGGGCTACACGGAGGCAGAAAGTGAGAGCCACGGCAGAGTTGTCTGTCTTCTTTCTGTTTAGGATGAATTGCCATGGGGACTCCACCAGCTTAGCCCCAGAGAAAAAGCCCTTTTATCAATGGGGAGTGGTTTCGATAAACCCTCGCCATGCCCACATCCCATCCTCTCTAGCTTTGTCTTGTTGCAGGGTGCTCCAAAGCCCCTGGAAACCGAGCCGAAAAGCCTTCCCATTTTAAAAACCTGCCTTAAGTCCTCAAATCCTTTTTCTGTATTTCCTCCTTCCAACCTGAGCGCTTACGTCGCCTTCAGCTCTCTCTGAAGCATCAGTCCATTAGGAGCGGAAACCTGCTGCGCTCCTATATTCCACGAAGCTGTAAGCCGTGGCTAACAAACCACGATGGATGTGCTCACACCATAAACTATACGAGAGTTGAACGTGGCAGTCTGGTTCAGGTTCCAAGACCTCAAGGAATAACGTGGCTTCCACTTTGTCACTGCAGTTTATTCACATGTAGGTTGGTGTATTGTGCAAACAGAGTTTATTTGCTAAGGTTAAAAAATGCGCCTCGGGCATTAGAATGCAGTTCTGCCGCTTGTTAAGTTCCTTCCAAAGCCCCAAGGGCAAACTGATTTTCAGAAGTGAACTTTATACTTTCCAAGGGCATCCGAGAAGTTTAAAAAAAAAAAAGCATTCTTTTACTAGAGCAGTTTTCTCAACCTCAGCCACGTGAAGGTGTGCGGACGTCAACTCCCAGAATGCCCCAGCCAACTTGCTTCTCAATTCTGAATTCTGGGAGTTGACATCCACACATCTTCACGTGGCTGAGGTTGAGAAAACTGGACTAGACTAAAACAAAACAGCTCCAGTTTGGCTCTCTCCACATAACACAATAAATCTAGTTTGCTCAGTCATAGTTTGTTAAATAAACCACAGTTGCCGGGGTTTATGCAACAAACTAATCCAGTTTACAAACCACACTAGGTGAGTTTCATGCAGTAACGATCCCACAAATAAGCAAATGTTGACTTGGCACGTTCCATGAACCCATCCAGGTTGTACTATTGAACAGCCTTGCAAATGACATCAGGATTGCTGAAGTGCAGTTCGGCTTACGAAGGAGCAAGCTTCTATCAATGGAGCAAGCCGTTTATTAGGGATGTAGGTCTCTTCAGCAGGCCAGCCAGAACAGGGTTCGTAGCTCATACGTGTACTATGAAATCAACCAGGAGTATTTTCTGGCTTTGATTAGAAAGATACAGACACTGTATTAGCTGTACGTATCGGCGGTGGAGCAATTCTGCTTCTCCCATTCTGGGGTGGAAATTCCAGGGATGAGAGGTCTTTAGTTATTTCTGTAAGCAGAAAGCATCACGCTCCAGTTATCAGTTTTGGATGCAATCTTTTCCCCCCAACTTCAGACCCTCTTTACGGTAGACAATCTCTTCTGGGCAAACTTACTCCAGCCTGAGAACCACGTGCTAAAAAGGAGGAAGGGCCCCAAGGGTGGACAGAGCCAGAATAGAAACTAAGCAGGACTGAAATTAAGTATAGCTGAACATGATTATTGTACCCCAAGGTACTTTGTGTTTTCTGACACACCACAGATCTGAATTTGGTGGGGGGCTCCAAAGGGGTTTCCTGCACATCAAGAAAACGGAAGCAATATCTTTGAAACGCCTGCAGCAATTTGAGAAGCTTCCTTTTTCTTAAGTTAAGGCTGCAGATTAACGGCATTGCCAGAACAGCCCATTTATTTTTGGTACCAGGCAAATGGGCAATTTTAAGCGGGCAAGGAGTCAAGGGGTTCAGGACAGTCTGCTTTCAGATGAGCTTCATCTCATGGGTTGTGCGAACGTGGAAGGTGGCCCTGTTTCTGTTTACCAGCCTGTCCAATCTGAAACTCCAGCCCTGTCCACCCAGCCAGGAAGGACACTGGAGAATCAGAATTAAGAAAAAATAGGATATAGGTGCAATAACAATAGTCCT